ATATCTTGAGGATGGCATTCCTGGTGGTCATTTTGACAGACAGCTTTCAAAACTTAGTTCCTTTAATTTTAAGCCAAATAATAGGAAATCAGGGCAGATGCTCCTTCCACCCGAAGAGTTAAGGTGCCCAATATCTCTGCAACTTATGAATGATCCTGTTATAATTGCTTCTGGGCAAACATACGAAAGGGTTTGTATAGAGAAATGGTTCAGAGATGGGCACAATACCTGCCCAAAGACTCAACAGAAACTTTCACATCTTTCCTTAACACCTAATTACTGTGTTAAAGGTCTTGTGGCTAGTTGGTGTGAACAGAATGGTGTTCCTATTCCCGAAGGCCCTCCTGAATCTCTTGATTATCACTACTGGAGATTGGCATTATCAGATTCTGAATCCACAAATTCAAGATCTGTAAACAGTGTTGGCTCTTGCAAATTGAAGAGTGTCAAAGTTGTTCCCGTAGAAGAGAGTGGTATCTCAGAGCAAACAGAGGAAACCATAACTGAAAGTTTTTCTACAAAAGAGGAAGGTAATGAACAGTATCTTGGTTTTCTTAATTTCTTGACAGAAGGGAACAATTGGAAGAGGAAGTGTAAAGTGGTGGAACAGTTGAGGCGTGTGCTGCGGGATGACGAGGAAGCCAGGATTTTTATGGGGGCTAATGGATTTGTGGAAGCATTTATGCAGTTTCTGCAATCAGCTATGCATGAAGGGGATGTGATGGCTCTTGACAATGGAGCTATGGCTCTGTTCAACCTGGCTGTGAATAACAACAGGTATGCGTTAAATTGTAATGTAAAACTGCTTTTCACATGATTCCAAAATTATACAAGTTATTGTTATTTGAAAATTGACACCTTTCATTTATCCAATGCCATAATTACTTTGTTATCTTCTGGTTAAAAATATCTTCATTGTCACAATGATCAACTTCTCATCCTTACCTCTTAAAGAGTCTTAACATGTATCAGCTTCTGTCATTTTTGGTTGACGGCCTGTATGTCGGAAAAGTACAGTGGTATTGGTCCAGCAAATCCTTTTAAGTTTTATTTGGAAAATAATTTTCAAAAATAATTTTTCTGGTTTGTTTGAAGCATCTTTATGATTATTTTCCTAAAGAAAAGTTCTTATAGTAGAAAAGACAGAAGACTTGCATAGTGCACTAGTGGTTGTTGACAATTGATACCGTCCATGTTGAATTACACCCTTTATTTTATATGTTGCAACTGATACTGTTCATTAACTGTTTCTGAATCGTCTCAGTGATTACTTTTTTCTTTTGTTTTCCATTTTATTTGGTAAATCATCATTAACACAAGCCTGATCCTTTTCTTCTTCAACAGAAATAAGGAAATTATGATATCAGCAGGAATCTTATCGTTGTTGGAGGAAATGAATTCAAAATCTAGTTCCTATGGTTGTGCAGCTGCCCTGTATCTGAATCTTTCTTGCCTTGAAGAAGCCAAGCGTGTGATTGGCACGAGTCAGGCTGTCCAGTTCCTAATCCAGATTCTTCATGCCGAGACAGAAGTCCTGTGCAAGCTAGATTCCCTCCATGCACTCTATAATCTTTCTACTGTGCCAGACAATATTCCAAACCTCCTTTCATCTGGCATCGTTAATGGCCTACAAACCCTTTTTGTAAGCCAGGGTGATAGCACGTGGACAGAAAAATGCATAGCTGTTTTGATAAATTTGGCTGTTTCTCAAGAAGGGAGAGAGGAAATAATGTTGGCTCCTGGACTCATAAGCGCCTTGGCTTCCACACTGGATACTGGTGAGCCCTTAGAGCAAGAGCAAGCTGCCTCTTGTCTCCTAATTTTATGTAACAGGAGTGAGAAATGCTGTGAGTTGGTTCTGCAAGAAGGGGTTATACCTGCATTGGTGTCGATATCGGTGAATGGAACCTCGAGAGGGAGAGAGAAATCTCAGAAGCTTTTGATGCTCTTCCGGGAGCAGCGACAAAGAGAGCATTCAGCTGCTAAGACAGATGAAGGTGAATCTGAAAGTAGTGATTTGTCTATGCTTCCTGAAACGAAACCGCTATGTAAATCAATATCTAGAAGAAAGGCAGTGGGGAAAGCTTTTAGCTTTCTCTGGAAAAGCAAGAGCTATTCTGTTTCCCAGTGTTAAGTTTCATGTAAATTAATGTTTGATTCTTAACTTTCCTGGCCTTGCTTTTCACCCTCCTATCACCTGTTTCCACGGGTGCTACATACTTTTTGCCTTCCAAAGAAGAGATGTACAGTCATGTGTAATTTATGGAAATGGAATTCTTTTTCCTGTCTCTTCCCTCTTTGTATATCAATCTCTCAACGAGTTGCATGTGTTAGATTTTCTTTTTGAAGGTTCAGGTAAATTTGAATTATGTCATACGGTCGAGGAAGTTTCCTCCTTGAAAAGAAGCTAACTAGTATATTTCGGCCATGTTGCTCGGCTGGTAACAAGGTATCTTTTGATTTTTCTAACTGCTAAAATAATGATTTTCCCCCCTTGTTTGGAGACATAAATATAAGCAGAAAATCTAGTAAAGTGATTTTTTTAAAAAAAATTTATTTTAAGAAATTGTATTTATGTATATTTTGGAAAAATGCATATCACTACCTTATATCACAGCGCAAAATTAGTGAAACGAATAATGAAAATTAATGGCTTGCTGTATGACAATTGTCAAGGATTTTAACTAATAGGCTAGGCGATGGTACTGTTTATCATTTACTGGCTGAGAAATATGGTGAAATATAACTGTTATTTAGTATCTTAAACATCAATTAATTCCCAACCAATAATAATTCTATGTGGTTAGGTTATATCCACAAGTTGGTGTACATGAAATAACATTAATTAAGAAAGTTGGTGTATATGGAATAAAATCTTTTGGGAAAAGTTAGCTCCTTAAATGGATGGTGAAAAAATTTACTTGGAAAATTAAAATACTAGGTAATACTCCCTTTTATCTCCCAATAGTTACGGTTTAAAGTTTCTACACATATAATAATGTATCAATTTTTTTATACAATTTTACTAAAATAGTTAATTCTCTCAATAAATATATTATTTTAGATTGTGGTAGTTGAATAATTTATAAAGAGTAAATTAAAAAGAAAAAAAAAAGTAATTAACATTAGATTGAAAAAAGAAATCATTTATTTTAAGACATTCTTCAAATGTTAAAATTGAAATCATTGTGAGATGGAGAAAGTATATTTGAGATGTTAATGAGTCTTTATTTTTTTTGTGCTGATAAAAAAATTAGTGTTGCTAATTAATGCAAGATTTTGCGGTTAACCTGTTCCTCCAAGAAGTGACAAATTGCCCGGATATGAAAAGTGAAAGGAAAAAAGGGCGTTAAATTTTCAAAACATTAAAGAACAAAATACAACAACTTTCACACAAGGAACAAAGGTGAAGGCCAATGCCAAAGAACCAATTCCTTATCAGGAGAGAATAATAGCATTCCAATATTCACACTGTTGAAGAGCTTTGTCCACAAAAGTTTGCGGGGTCCAACCAATTTTGGTTGATAATTCTATTTCTATCATACGAGTTCTTCATAGCGCAAAAGCGACAGCTACAATATCCCATGTCGCAAAGTTTGTCTCCGAAAATCTTGAGTGGGAGCCACTCACCAATTTTGAAATCACTGTTTGATTCTTAAGAAACTCTACATTATGGGCATCACAGTGTGGCACTCAAACTGTATTTGTCTGTAATTTTATAAAATTGATGTGATTTAAGTTAGAGTGTTTTTAGCCTAAAAGTAATTTAGCAGTAGAATTCAATATAAAATTTTTGATCCAACACAAAAACTACTTCAAGTTGTTTCAACTCAAAATTAATTTTAAAATATGAATTAATTCATCAATTTAAGCCGATGATGTGAACATTGATTATTTTTTTATCAATAAAAATTACAATAATACCGATAGAATTTGAACTTAGAATTATGTATATTGTTCCAATATTTATTACTAAGTCGACCTTAATAATTTCAACATTGATTTAAAATCAAATTAACTATTTTCTTATATGTTACATGATATTGGACGATGCAAAACACGCCATAACGAATAACACTAACGTCAATACTTTATGGCTTCAAAGAGATCTCAGCCAAGAAAGAAAGAAAAAAGAAAAGGAAAAAAAGACTATATTTTTCTTAAGACATTAATTCTGCCATTGATTCATGAAAAATTCATTAATTGACAGAATGAAAGGGTAGAAAGAAAACAAAAAAGAAAAAAGAAGAGCATCGGATTCGGTTGTCAAGTGCTGAATTTCATGCCACAACTCAACTAAAAGAATAGATGAAAAGGAGTAGAAAAGTTTAAAGGAACTGCCTAACAAGTCCAAGCTCTAAGCTCAAAATACAAGAACAATATATGGATTATCTTTTCCCCCTCAATTTATGAAGGGCCTTCAAGTCATGCCACAACCAGAAAAATCGCTCGGTAACAACCTTCCAATAATTCGTATGTCTTGCTAATTTCAATTTGTTAGTACTATATTATTATGCTTGAATGTCTTCCTAATTTTACTGATATTTGGATTAGTTTTCTTACAAAAGTATCATTTGTTTAACAAAAAGTGGTGTTTAAATTAGACTGGAATCTTGATATTTAAATTGTTGGTTGTTACTTCTAATTGTTTTAGTATATATAAAATAGCTGCATGGTTGTATTGTAATTCGTGGGACTTCAAATTTAAATTGATATTTAAATTTTCTGATTCTAAGTTATTTTGAACTGTTAATTTCTTTTTTGCAGGCATTCCAGGAGATGGTAGATGTTTGTTTAGATCTGTGGTATATGGTGCATGCCTCAGAACAGGGGAACCATCTCCAAGTCATAGCAGACAAAAAGAACTCGCAGATGAACTCAGAGCCAAAGTACTCTTTTCTTCCTTATTTAAATAATAAATTATAGTTTGGCATACTTATTATATAGTCTAATGTTTCTATGGTGGATCATCAACATTTGTGCAAATAGACTATGCTTAATTTCCAGCTCAAACTACGTGACCATAGATCCTTTTTATAAATTGATTATTTCATTTTGATCCATTCTGATCCCAATTATGGGAAAACAACTTATTTTGCAGGTTGTGGATGAATTCATCAAGAGGAGGGCAGACACTGAGTGGTAAGTTATCTAAAAAGGAGGCAGTTTCATTAAATATTTACTTTCACTCATCCTTTTTAGAAGACTCAAATCAGAAGTGTGATTTAATTTTTAGTCTTTATTTTATAAGAACCAACTTAAAGTGTCTTTTGCATTAATTTCTTTTCCTTCAATAAATACCCTTTATTATAATCATTTATCTGAATTCAATGAGTACTTGGTAGAATAAGAGATATGTTAATAGTAATCTCGAAAAAAAAAAAATTTAAGACAAATTTAACCTATCAACTAAATTAATCAATTTTGGATCTTACAAAAAAGACTGGTGTCATATGAATCTGCTCATCTTGAAGTCAAATAGAGAACCCAGATTATTTAAAGTTGAAAGGAAAAGGCCTTCATATTTATGGCATTCTCATTGCATAACTCTAGCATATATGTTTTCACTTGTAGTGCAATTTGAAGTTAATTTGAACATTTGTGTTTATTTCATTACACACAGGTTTCTAGAAGGTGACTTTGACACCTATACAGTACAGATGCGAAAGCCTCACATTTGGGGAGGAGAACCTGAACTTCTCATGTCCTCGCATGTTTTACAGTTAAGTCTGTTTTCATTTGCAAAACTTTCATGCATATGTGATTTGCCTAATGTTAAGAATCCACACACTTAGGTATTGATTTCTTTTAAGTGGCATAAGTATCAGTTTGTTCCAAAGTATAATCTAAGTGTGATTAATTATTTAGTCTCTATAGTTGTGTGTTAACTTTACACTTTAGTCTCTCTAACTAAAAACTCTACCAGAGTAATTTTTGCATGTTTTAGTTCCTAGTTTTCTGACGGTGTAAAACTACCACAAAATATAAGCATCAGTATTAGAAGTTTAGAACATAAAAAATATTGTTTATATAGAATTAAAACAGATATTTTAGGTATAATGACTAAAATATTAAGTTATCATAAGTAAAGGGACCAAATGATTAAATAATTTTTTAATTATTGTCTAATAATGATTCCATGCATATCATAAATAACATAACAAATATAATGAATGATACATTTCTAATCACAATATATGTTGTGGTTCTAGGATGCCTATAACAGTGCTTATGCAGGATAAGAATTCGAGTAAGCTTAAAGTTATAGCAGAATACGGTCAAGAGTATGGAAAGGATAACCCTATTCGAGTCATCTATCATGGTTATGGCCACTATGATGCATTATTGAAGAGTTCCACTAATTATATGAAGTCTTAGCTTTAATATGCTCTTCGCAATAACTGCAAAAGTTTGATTATGTGCATATGATTCTGACCCTGTCATTGAAGTAGTGAAGTGAAATTCTAATGTTTGAGCTAGAACTTAATTCATGGTGGAATGACACTGGTGCTTCAATTACATGAGATTATTTATTTATTTATTTATTTATTTATTAATAATAATAATAATAATAATTTATCCATTGAAATCAAATTTGATACATTGCTTAACTAATCGAGTTAGATCTTTTAGGGTTTATGGTTTAGTATGATGGTTAATTTGGTGCCAATTTTTCTTAAAAAGAAATTATTTTACTTTGTAGTTATAGGTTATGTGTAAACAATTTGGTTTTTTTTATTAATAGAAAAAAAGGTTATATGCAAACTGAAATGGTGCTTCCACTTGTGTCCTCAAAGAAAATTTGCACGTGCTTCGAATTTTTTTTCTTTCAGTCTTATTAATGAAAGTTGGGTTTGGTTAATAGATCAATAAATAAAATATTTTTTTATTAAAATTTATCAATATAATAACGTTTATTTAAAATTATCGTTATAATTAGATTAAAGATTAAGGTGAAACATGCACGTCAGAGGTTTTTATTAAAAAAAAAAAAATTTCTTTTCCATATAGATACAATTAGTACTATCTTTATTCTTCACCTAAAATATAAGTTAGTGAAATTACATTTTGTGATGACCATGACATCTATTTAGGTCCTTAATTTCATGACATCTTTTGATATAAAATGTTTTTCTTAAAGCATTTCTAATCAAAGTTGCTCTTAGCAAATTCAACAGCGATTACAATAATCTATACGTAGATAGGAGATAAACTCATGTGAGATCTATGAGGTCATATTGATTGTTAATAAGGCCTATTCCTTTTTTATTTTTGAATAAAACCCACTATTTTTTTAATAATTTATTTATGCCTTTATGATATTGTAGCATCTTAATCCAAAAGCACGAATTGCAAGCCCAATGTTGGAGAGTCCTTGTCCAACTTGTGGGTAGATCTCCTACTCTTAGATTGAACATTGTCCTAGGCATAAATTATGTTCTAACATGGGAATTAAGAGAATCGATGGTTGTGACTTCCTAGGAGATCAATGGACAAAGTGTTTTAATTTTTTTTTTTAAATAGTTAAAACTTAAGTGAGTTGGTCTATGGAGGTTTAACAAAGGCAAGATTAGTCTCAAAATTCAAAAGTTGTTTGGAGAGATACTTATATATTTTTCACCTATCAACAAGATTTTCACATGTGAGTTTATTTTTTATTAACCGAACTAATCTTGAGTGTTCTAAGTCTTTTGTTGATAGTATTCTATTATGATTTCAGAAAGGACGGATTCATAGAATTAATAAATAAGACTAATTTATTTTTCTACCTTTATAATTATTTAAATATTTAACTTCAAATAATGTACACTAGTCACAGTATTTAAAGTTTACAAGTAATAAAAACTTATTAAAACTTCACAATATTATTTATTATATGTTTAATGAAAGTTTTTCATAACTTTTTTTTAATTATATATATGTTAAGAATTATATTAAAATATATTGTATATTTGATTAAAAAAAATTAAATTTTTAAGCGAGGAGAGATCAACTCAAGTGATAACACGTTTTTTGAAATAGAATGAAATGTTTATAAATTTTTGGCATCACTCTAACTTGACACCTTAGCTTGAGATGAAATGTTTATAAATTTTGGTAACTCCTAAAATCACGTAAAATGTGACTACCTCACTTCAACAATGCCTTGCTTGGCTGTTACAATAAAATTAAAATTAACTTTCTTTCAACTTAGTTTGAAATGTACACGGTATTCAGACACTCAAAATTATGGTGACTCTCATAAAATCACGTAAAGAATGTGATCTCCTCACACCAACAATGTGTTTTTACAATTGAATCAAAATTAATTTTCTCTCAACTCACTGTTATCCAAACAGGTTAGTATAGAGGTAGTCTTCAAAAATCAAATAACGTGCTTTAATAAAATAAAAGATCTAACCATCAAACATATCACATAATTAATAAATAATATTGTCTTTTAATCGTATAATTAATAGATAATCCTATTTTTTAATCATGTAATTAGTTATTTGATTCTTAATTCATCTACATAAAAACCTTTATAGAAATAGGTTTCCTCCTTAAATACATATCAATTATGTCCAAAAGTAAACACTTATCTAGAATAAATATTTACCGAGAAAAGTTAACAGTAGATCTTATCATATATAAATTTGTTAGACAATCAAACGGCCAAAAGATGACATTTAAGCACTCATGTAGTAACCGTGATAAATTTTTTTGTCATATTAAGGTAGTGTTTGATTTACTTTTTTCTTAAAAAAAAACTATTAAAAATTAAAGAGTTTATTTTTTAAAAGTAAAAAGAATATATATATATATATATATATTTTAAATTAACTGAATGCCTTATATAAATTTCACATTTTTTCCTCTTTATGTTTTTGGTCTTGATTTTTTTTTGTGGAATATTTTATTTGTCTTGAATTAATCAATGTAAAACAAAAGAAAAAAATTAATTTCTAAACTAAAACCGTGAAAGAATGTCTCCTAGCAGCTATAATCCAAAACTTCTGATTTTGAAATAATTTTTAAAAACCACCAAACATATACAGATTGACGTGAACTTTTTTTTTTTTTTTCTTCATGAAATGATATGCAAGTTCATAATATTTTTGCTGCACTTAAACATAGTCAAGGAGAAAAAAAAACTTAGACAAATAGCAGAACTGTTGATATTACTTTAAGAATTTATTTGAATATAATTAGTTTAAAAAGATATTTGAAAATTTTTCTATTAAAAATATTTTTTATTAAAAAAAATTAACTTTTATTTTATATCTAAATAAATTCAAATAATCAAACGGTCAATATTCACTTAAAAACATCTCAAAGATAGCAAATAAAAAAAAAAACTTAAAGATATACAATGATTATGAAGAGTTACCAGCTAAATTTAGTTAGACATGTGGAACAGTTCTCAGAAAAAAAAGAAAAGGAAAAAAGAGGTACATTGTCAAGGCAATATAATTTGTATCAGAGTGCAGGCCAAATCCGGTAAGTTTTGAATGTGACAAAACAAAAGTTTTTGCATTGAAAATATCTAATTATCTATAGTGGTCACATCCACCTTTCTTTATCTCTCTTTGTTCTTTTGCCATCTTGATATCTCCCTCAGTTACTTGCAATATAAAATAAATAAAAGTATTTTTTATAAATAAATATAAAAGAAAATAGTATATGAACTGATTTATATTGTAATGTAGAGTAAATTTGATAAATTCATAGTGGCCTCAGCAGTAATAACACTTCCTTAAAAAAAACTTGGAGGTTTGATTTTCAATTTAATTATTGTGAATGGAGAAAACATAATTAGGGAGATCTGATTTATTTATTTTTATTAGAAAAAAGAAGCACTTCATATTTTTAATTTAAAAATAAAAAATTAATAAGTGATTATTTAAAAAGAAGAATTTAGTAAGTGGATATCATTAAAGTAGAAACAAGAAAAATAAATAAATAAAAGATAATAGAAGAGAAAGTGGTTTGAAAATAATTATAGGGGTAAATTAGTTCAAAATTTGTGTATATACAAAAATAAGTATCACTTTATTAATAATATATATTTAATATAATAATTTATTAATTAATATAATAAAATAAATTTTTAACTAAAGATTCTCATTAGTAGAATTACTCTCCCGATTTTCTTTTAATTGATGTTTTTGTAGGGGTAACTTTTTTTTTCTTCTTTTTTTATCTTTTTCATTTTAATTATTATCTTGCAATACCAATAAATTTTTTTTCCAATTCTACCCTTGAAAATCAATAAATATGTGCTTTTAGATAAATTAATCACTATGAGAAATACGGGGTAAAATAGAAAATTAGTTAATAATTTTGAAGAAAACTAAAATATTAATTATTTTTAATTTATGAATTAAAAATTAAATGAAAAATAAAAAGGAATGAAAAGTGTAAAAAAATTTGTTAATTAACATGCCTAATATACATGATAAAAATCCATTTTATATAAAAAATTAATGATGAAAAATGCTTTTGAATATATAAATTATATTGTAAGTAAATTTTGTAATGATTTTTTTGTAAAGCCATATAAAGTATATTAGTATTTTAGCCTATGTATTTCACATGCTAAATATTTATCACATGTCACTGAAATCTATAATAAATTATGAATTTAAATATATTTTCAATCCTTTTAATTTAAGATAAGTTTATTTTTAATTCTCAATTTAAAATTAATCTTTTTGGTTTTTATAACTTTAAAAAAATATTATTTTAGTTTTTATACTTAAATTTTATTAAGAAATCTATTAAATACAATCATATAAAGTTTATTTACTGATATTTGTGTTAACGAAAATATCACATTAAACTTAGCTAATATATTATCTCAAATTGTTACTTTTAAATATGTTACTGGTTACCTTTAAAACTAAAATATGATTTTTGAAAATTACAGTGCAAAAATCAACAATTTTAAATCTAAGGGATAAAAAATAAATTTATTCTAAATTTGAGAAACTAAAACATATATAGATGAATAATATATTTAAATATATAAATTATATTTAAAATTTATATAAATAAATATTTTTAAACATATAAATTATATTTTATATTTAAGATAAATAATTTATATTATAAAAAAAATATGTTTAATTATTGATAATTTATTTAAAATTTTTGAAAATTAAATTCATAAGTAAATGCAATACATAAAAATTTGAATTAGATAAGAAATGAAAAAAATTTAAAAAAAATTTCAAACACGCTTTAGTTGAGAAAAAAACTTTTAAAATTGTTTTTTTGTTAAAAATATTACATTTGGCTTTATATATAAGACTCGATTATCTAATTCATCAAAATTAAGAAAATTAATTAATTAAGTTAAAGATAATAAATTTGTCTTATTTATATATATATTTTTTATAAAATAACCCTTCTTTTTCCTAATTAATGTTTATACATCTTTTAACCAATTAGAGAACATGTTTTATACAATTTTTATCCCCTTATTAATACATATTTTTCTTCTACTCAACTAGAGTGCATGTTCTTTAATTAATTAATGCATTTTATCAAATTAAGATGACATATTTAAGTGTTATATAAAAATAACTAATATATGAGATAATATGAATTGATTCTTATATAAAAGAACAAACAATTATTCAATGTTGAATTTTATGAATAGGAACAAAGGTGGAAACTTTTAAATGTTTATTCATCATCCTATGAACTCCTATATATAATATATTAAATTCAAATAAGACTATCTTATACGAGAATGTTTTTAGGAGATCATTCTTCCATAAAAATATTTATAATTTTTTTAACTTCTTATCTAATTCAATATTTTTATTTATCATACTTATTTATGAATTAAATTTTAACATTTTAAAAATAATTTATCAATAACTAAAAATTATTTTGTGCCATTATATATATTATTTATCTTAAATCTAAAATATAATTTGTATATTTATACAAGCTTTAAATATAATTTATTTTAAATATAATATTTATTTTTATATATAATTTGTTATAAATTTTAGTTATATATAATTAACATTTTACCTATGAAATATATAAATTAAAATACTAATTTCATGTAAACAGATTATTTGAGAGTGACATACTAAACAAATAAAGATGATTTTTGAAAAAAAAATTAGTATTTTATTTATTAAATTAATAAGAAAATTATCAACATTATGTTAATTTGAATCGAACTGACATAAGTATTTTAAAGTAAAATTTTAAGGTCTTATTCATGTGAATACTTTCTTAAAAATGGTTAAACATGTTTTTTTTTTGTCCATATTTTCTTACGTCTAGATCCACAGTCATGAGAATAATTGACACTTATACTCTTATTACTCACTTTTCTGTTAAGTAACATGATATTTTATGATATGAAAATCTTTATAACACTAACATTGTCTATGAAAAATTAATAATAAAAAAGTATAATATTTAACTTCAAATGAGATACAAAGATTGACTTAATAATATAAAAATGAGGTAAAATGTACATGATGTTAGATTCAAACTTTGGTGCTATTATTATAATTTTAATAAATATTTTTTTATTTTTATTTTTGTAAAAAAACTCTAATTAGAAAATTACATTTTTTTAAATAAATTACTTATTTTATTAGCATAAATATCTTATTACGAAAACAATCATGCTTTTAAGAAGTAGTATTATTAAAGATAACAAAGTTATTTCTCTTAATATTTAATTGATGCGTAAATGTATTGCGGGTAAGATTTAATACAATCAATAATAATTACTTTTTGCTTACTCTTAGTTAAATAAAACTTTTTTTTTAAGGGGAAAGTTAAATTACTTACTATAAACAATTTAATTGACACTCATTTAGTCCAGCTCTGATTACCAAAATGAATAACTTGTGATTATCATAGCAAAAATTTGTAGGTCCAACAACCAAATAATCTTACCTAAGCAAGATCAAAAAAGTTCAACCACATCTAGCCAAACAAAACAAAACCCAAACTACAATTTATTTAATTTAATCAAAATCTAATTATTTATTCGATCACACAAAACAAAGCTTCTTAAAACGAAACGATTCCACATATATATAAAGTGCATGCACAGCCTCCTCTGTACCTTTTTTTCTGTTTCATTCGCAAACACGAAAGTTCTTAGGTTGAAGAGAGGTTCCTGCGAAAAAAAAAAAAAAAAAAAAAAAACCAAACAAATGATGGTGTTGGCGAATTCTGTTACGAAACAGGTTTTTCCCGTAGACTACGAAACGGAGGTGTCGCAGCGTCTCGTAGAGGCTTCTCATTACGGCGACACCGAAACGGCGTTCGAGTGTATCGCGAGTCCGTTGGTGGACGTTAACTTCGTTGGAACGGTGTCGTTTAAGTCCAAAACGACGGAAATCGTGCTGCAGGACGAGTCGCCTCACCGAGTTAACTCGGCGTACGAGGAGTTCAAGACCGAGCTCACTGCTCTGTTCCTGGCCGCGCACACAGGGAATTTGACACTCCTGCGGAAGCTTCTGGTAACGCTTCTCAACGTTGTTTATTGTCTCGTGTTAGGAGTGAACAAACCATTTCTTAAAACGACGATGAAACATTCGCAGCGAAGAAGTTGCGTCACTCGTTTTGGTTTTTCGAAACGCGATTCTAATCGTGGCGTGGTGTGGCGTCGTTTTTGTGTCTTCGTTTTTTTTTGTTTGGTTTTGTCATTTGCATATTCTTTTGTTTTTTTTTGCTTGGTGCTGTTGTGGTGCATGCTTTTGCGTTGTAACTTGTGTGTGTGTGTGATCGGTGTTACGCTGCTAGTGTTTTTGCTTCCGTTTTTGAATGATTAATCGGTTTTTCAATTTTCGAAAACCAATTCGAACCACGACAATTTGTGAAAATCGTGAAGTAAACCAAGTTAGATTTATGTGCTTGAAGACAAGGAAGAGAACAATTCATTTCATGCTTTGCTGAATAAAAGAAAGATCCTCTGTTAAAGAGAACGGTTAAAAATTGGATAACGTTGTCAGGTCACTCCCGCAAAATATATAATTTACATCTAATTATGTTGTATTTTTTTAGCATTTCTTTTTTAATTTATTTAAGTTTTGAATCTAGAACTCTGGAAAATATCAAAACTCCCCAACTTAGTTGGTTAATTTTTTTTAATAGGTATGTTATTTTATTTTTTTAATTTCCCCTTATTTTTTAACTATTTTTTGTAATCACATGGAAGTCATGTGACAATTCCATAGGAAGTGAATAATAGAAGATTCATTTTACAAATTTTAAATCAAGCGAATCTAGTTCAATTGGTCGAGTGCCTGAATGTTGCAACCTTTCTTGTTCTTTGTATTTGATTTTATGGATAAAAAAAAATATTAGCAAGGTATAATTTGGTATTTGTGTTCCATTCTATGGATAAAAATATTAACAGAGGATAATTTAGACATCGGGTAATAAAATTTAACATTTGCACAATTTTTTAAATTAAATGTTAAATATGTTTAACAGTTGAAGACATAAAAAAAAAAAAAAAAAACCTAAGCTGATTTGTGATGTGTATAATTTGATTTAGCTTACCCCAAATTTCGGGTTCGGTTGGATTTCATTTCTTTCATATACGTTTGGAGTATTTTTTTTGTTTTTGGTAATGATGTTTGGAGTAACTTTCATCTTTATTCTTTCGGATAATTAGTCAGCTCTCAAATTTGATCTTGTTATCTAACGATAAACTCAATTTTATTTTTTTAGCCCAAAATGCGTTTAATGTTGTTATGAGATATTCATCAATACATATCATACATCTCATCTGACATTACTCTAACGGACGATGTAGGAACAATAATTTGTTTTTTCTTTTCCCATAAATCTGCTTTTAAACTGAAACATTAGTTGTGGTGTCACGTGTTTAAGAATTTGCGTTCATAGTGTTTAAGTTAGTCCATGACATCTTGGTTAATCATGATGTAATTTGAAGTCTTTTCTTGTCCCCTAAATAAGATCTCATCAGCAATTTACGGGATAGAATAGTGTACTGAGAGATGGATAAGAGGAACGAGAATGGGAAAGAGATGTTTAATCTCGAGTGCTGATTCTCGTTCTTAAAAACTTGGAAGCAAATACCTCATTCAAGTTATGAGATAAACACTTTAAAAAATTAACTTATTTATTGGTTAACTTTAGTTTTTAGAAAAAATTATTTTATTTTTCTTATTTTTTCTCTTATAAATAAGTATTTACAGAAAAAGTTTATCTCAAACAGAAATGTTAGCAATTTTTTTTAATATTCTTTATATTATTAGTTAAAATTTATTAAAAATTACAAATTTTAAAGATTATCGCCTTTCATTTAAAAAGAAGCTTTTCTCATGATTTAGTAATTAGGCTTACCAAAAATTGTGATTTTTAAATGAATTTGAACTAATAGTATAAAAAAATTAAAAAGAGAATTTAGAGGAAGTATTACTAACACACATAACCTTAATAAATACTACAACTAATAAATTAGTAATGTATAGCTAACGTAATAGCTCTTTTTATGTGGATGAAGCAAGGAGAGACACACCCTTTCTGTTTTGTCACGTCAACAATTCATTATTATTAACTAAGTTTTGACGTTTTCATGTAATAGAATGTCGGAGCAAATGTAAATATAAGATTGTTCAGGGGATATGCCACAACAGCATCAGTGAGAGAAGGGCATCTAAAAGTATTGGAGGTTCTCATCAATGGTGGAGCGTCACAACTTGCATGTGAGGAGGCTTTATTGGAAGCATGTTACATGGGGAGGGCCAGATTTGCTGAACTACTCATGCAGTCCAGCATGATCCGTCCTCGGGTTGCAGTTCATGCCCTTGTCTCTGCTTGTTGCAGAGGCTTCGTTGAGGTTGTTGATGTACTCATCAAGGTAACCCCATTATGTTTGATAAAGGCTGTGTAACTGTGTTCTCTTCTAAAATTGTGGATGTGGTAAATGTAGCTCCTCAAATTTGCCAAAAAAAAACTTAGAGTAATATAGTAGTTTCGGTATTCTTCCATCAGAACTGATATTTTACCTTTATAATACTTGCTGACGTTTTATTAAATCCTTTATTATGAATATTATTAGGTAAAATTTCAATTTTAAACGAAGAAAAATACTAACAACACCAATAATTCAGTATTTATAGGTGTTGTTAGTATTGTTCTTCGACCATAATTATAATTGTCTTGATATGTTCAATATAATTTTTTATTAAATATTAATGTATATTATCGAGATAAAATTTCAATTTTAATCGGATAATAGAACATCACCAACGGTAACTTTAGTTCAGCATCCATAGCTTTGTCCAGTTGATTATTAAATAACACTGTTCCGTATGTTGGCAGCATGGAGTGGATGCCAATGCAATTGATAGGACCTTGCTTCAATCTTCAAAGCCATTTCTTCACGCTAATGTTGATTGCAATGCATTATTCGCCGCTGTTGTCAGCAGGCAGATTAATGTTGTTAGATTACTGTTGCAGGTGGGTTTCTCTGACTTACATAAGTAAGCTTCCCATGGGATAAACATGTCTTACAGCAAGTCCTTTTTTATTTTTATTTTTTTATTTTTTTGACTTTTGGGGGTGTTATTACAGTGTGAGAACTAGAAGACTTCATTGATTTTTCATGTCTGTTAACCATAATCTTTTATTGGTACCATATGGTAAAATATGATGCTTCTGTAATTGATCCAATTAAATTTACATAATCTATTTGTGGGTGGTCAAGTTTCTGCATCGAGTACAATTATTTTGTATTGTATAATCACAATCATTTTCTGATTTTGGAAACAGGTTGGCGTGAGGCTTGATATCAAGGTGAAACTGGGGGCATGGTCGTGGGACACAGATACAGGAGAAGAATTTCGTGTTGGTGTTGGACTAGCTGAGGCTTATCCAATCACATGGTGTGCTGTGGAGTATTTTGAATCCACTGGTGCCATATTGCACATGTTGCTCAGCCATCTCTCTCCAAATAGTTTACACTTTGGGAGGAGTCTCTTGCACCATGCAATTATTTGTAACAATGAAAAGGCACTAACTACACTTCTAAACCGTGGTGCTGATGCAGAAGTGGTAGTGCAAACCACTGAAGAAACCAATGAACACCCTATTCACATAGCTGCACGGCTAGGGTCATGTAACATTCTTCAGTCGCTGATTAGTGGTGGTTGTAACTTGGACTCCAAAACAAAATCTGGAGACACGGCATTGATGATTTGCACAAGGCACAAACATGAGAAGTGCCTTGGAGTGCTAGCATCAGCTGGTGCTGATTTTGGGATGGTAAATTCATCTGGTCTCAGTGCAACTTCAATTGCAAACTCTGTTCAGTGGACTAAAGTCTTCCAAAAAGCACTTCTGGATGTAATCAGAGCCGGTAAGATTGTTAAATCAAGCAACCCCTATAGATTTTCCGCTTTGTTATTTGTGACTCGTGCAAATGATGTAGAGGGTTTGAAGAAACTCATTGAAAATGAGAACACCAATCTAGATGAGCAAAATGGAAATGGATTTTCAGCTGCTATGATAGCTGTTATTGGGGGTAACGTGGAATCTTTCAGGTTGCTTCTTTATGCTGGTGCTGATGTGACCAAGCTTGAAAACAAGTATGGTTTGACAGCACTTGAACTCATAGACATGAGCCCAAATGGTGAAATGTTCCACAACGTGATGCTTGAATATGCACTTCATAAGAGAGGCAATGGTTGTTCAATAGAGGTGAATCCTCTCCACCGTGCAGCATGTTATGGGGACATGAACATTGTTAAAAAACTAATAAAAGAAGGGTATGATGTAAATGCCTTTGATGATCAAGGATACACCCCTTTGATGCTAGCAGCAAGAGCATGCCGGCGTGAAATGTGTGAGCTTTTGATCTCGTGTGGAGCCAAATGTGATGTTGAAAATGAGAGACACGAGACAGCACTTTCCCTTGCAAGGCAAAATGGTGCAGAAAATGATGCTGAAAGCGTGATAATGGAAGAGCTAGCTCGAACACTAGTCTTGTGTGGTGCTCGTGTGAAGAAGCACACAAAGTGTGGTAAAGGTTCACCTCATGGTAAGTCACTGGTGATGGTTGGAGCTGCTGGAATCTTGCGTTGGGGAAAATCTAGTAAGAGAAACGTGATTTGTAGAGAGGCTGAGGTTGGACCTAGTGAGAAGTTTCGATGGAATCGTAGGAAGAAGTTTGATGTCGATGAGGGGGGAATGTTTCATGTGATTACTACGAAAAACAAGGAGGTGCATTTTGTGTGTGAAGGTGGGGTTGAAATGGCTGACTTGTGGGTGAGGGGGATTAGATTAGTGACTAGAGAAGCTATTTTTGGTCGAAGAGCTTATAACGTTTGAAGGGGCCATGGTTGGGGAAACATAGAGGTTGTAATTGTAAAAGTACCTAATTCTTGGTAATTGGTATACAAATCAATTTCAGTTTATACCTTTTTATTTATTTATTAAGATGTATGTTATCTCACTATTCTAGGGTGGGTAACACTTTCTCTAATATTTTCTTAACATTAATAGTAATTTATTAAAAATTACAAATTTTAGTAGTCTTATTTATTATTTTGAGTTTCTCTCTCAATTATGAAGGCTTGTCAAAATTTGTAATTTTTAATAAATTTTAACATAAGAGTATTAGAAAGAGAGTAACAAAGAAAATATTGTTAACTCTTTCACTAAAATGAATAGTGATAAACAACTTTTAAATTTTTTAAAAATTTATAAAAATTTTGTTTGTATAATATTTATAACAATGAAATTTTGTTTAAATTATTTAAAATTTCGCTACTTAACCATTTTAATGAATAAAATTTATAAAGATCTATGTCTGAGTTATTATTTATTAATGAATAATAATAAAGAACTTATTTAAAAAAATTAAAATTTATATAGATTAAATCTAATAAAAAAAATATTGAATAAAATTAGTTATAAAAAATGTTATAATGTCAAAGGTTAATCTAGGTGTAAAAGAACATATGTTTATCTCACAACAATGTGAATTCGATTCCTCCTATGAATATGAAGACTTTATTGATGTAAAGACAGAAATAAATCAAGACTTTGTTAAACTTAAACTTGACTTAGTAAATAAGTTTTACCTATTATTATTACATTTTTTTTAGATTGACATAATATGAAATTCTATTTATGTGACCTATCCTATACATGGTTTATAAGTAGACAAACATACCGAAATATTAAAAATATTATTTTTAATAATTATATTATTAAATATAAATATGTAAAGACAAGGACCCTAAAAACAACATATCTTTATCTTCATTGAAAGATAATTTATAAGTACATTTGTAAATATTCTTTGAGCTTTAAGCCTTATTTTAACTTGACAAATTCTAGAAATTATTTTTTCTTAAAATTTCCTTTATAAAAAATATGTTGTCATCATGTGAAAAAAAAAGTGAATTATTGTTATGAAATTTAAATTTTGTTGAATTTTTGAAATGTCTATAAACTTTTACGTGTAATTTTAAATTTTTAATTGCAAATTCATTAAAACATCACATTAACTATTTTTATTGATATTTATACATATTATTTAAAATAAGAGTTTCACTTAATTTCTAAACTCAAGTTGGATTATAAATAACTAGTGTAAAAAGGATATTCTATGCCTTTGTGTATTTTATATAAAAATAAAAATAATTGATGTTAAAAGTTTTGATTAGTTATTTAAAAAATGTGAAATGTTTAAAAAATAAATTTATTAAAAAGTAGAGAATAAAAATAAATAAATAATATATGGGAGAAAAATAGTGTATTAAAAGTTAAGAGTGTGCACTAAAAAAAAAGATATTATTTTTATTAATAATATAGATGAATGTGAAATTCTAATTTTGATGAGATAAGAAACATTTTAATTTTATACTAGCTTGTGTTCCAAAACTTTTCCTGGTTCATCAATGGAAACTAAATTTTTTATCGATTTAGCATTGGTAAATATTATTATAACAATTTACAATAAACATTATTCTTACAAAAGAAATTCCAAAATTAATATTTAATACTGTTAATACACTCTTATCATGACTAATCCTTAATTAATTAATATTATTAAAAAATTAGTTCATCAGATCCATTTATATAACCATCGATTAAATATTGCTTGTTTTCTGCTACGGGAGTGACCGAGCGAGTCAGTAATTGACTCTGCTCCAATATTTAATTGCTTAACAACGTATAAACAGTTGGCACCTTGTACCAAAATTTGTCTTTTGTGTTGTTACATGTGATGAAAATCATGAGATCATGTTGCACTTATATTATCCTCCTTGGTCGACAAAGAGAAAAATTAGTTGATCATACTATATTGTGATAAGCAATTGTTTAAACTTCAAGTGCGGTGCACTCCTAAGCTTAGGATTTTTTTCACTTTGACTTTCTCTGCTGTTAGAACCATAAATTTTGTGCTGCTCTTTTCCTCAAATATGTTTCTTCAAATTTATGATGATATTTATGAGTACACAAGCCAGTAATTTTTGCTGAGTTTTTTTTTTCTTTTCTTGTGTTCTATACTTAGGCTGAAAAATGAAACTGAGTCCGAGGGAGATCGAGAAACTAAGCCTGCACAATGCTGGCTACCTTGCACAGAAACGCCTTGCTCGTGGTTTAAGACTCAATTATGCTGAAACTGTGGCTCTCATAGCAACACAGGTTTGCTTCTGTTCCTCTTTGATGTAAATTTCCAAATTTTTTATCTTTTTTTATTTTTTTTTCTCGATTTTTTTTTTGTTACAAAAATGTGGTAGAATGGGAGGCAATCCAATACTATCGAGCAAAGCTCCAATAACATGTTAGTTTTGCCAATGGAGTCCCACTTAGAATGATACTGCACAGTCCTAAACTTCAAGTAGTTTATCAAGTTACAACTGTTCAATTAGCTCCTAGAAGAAGGGGGTTTTCCTAAAGAGGGTTGCGGACCTTGATAGATTAATCTTTGATTTTCAACCAATGAATGACCTCGGAGATCAGTCTTTGATTTTCGACCAAGGAATACCCTATTTCACCCAAAAAAGAAATCAAGTTTCAATCCCTTGGAAATGAATCTAATTTGTGTTTAATCCTTTGGAAATGAATTTAATTTGTAGTGTGTTATTATTTTTTCTGTTGCATAGATTGTGGAATTTGTTCGTGATGGTGACAAGACTGTTGCACAGCTGATGTCCATTGGGAGAGAACTTCTTGGAAGGTATTATGTTAATTTTCATAATTTGATTTTATGCTCCTATGCTCTTGCCGTAGAAAAAGAGGAATGGGCAGTTTAGAATATATGTAAATTTATCTTCATATTTCAACAGGAGACAAGTTCTTCCAGCTGTTCCACATCTCGTAGAAAGTGTTCAGGTACATGTATCATTATGGCAATGTGGTTATATTATACAAAGCACTCTCACAAATGGCTTTATGCATATTGCATACTAACGGAGGTCTTCAATGTTTTGTGACTATGATTGAAATTATATATTTGCAAAAACTATTTTTTATTGCCTCCTTTAACCTCTTTATTACGGCTCTTCAAACTTAAAAAGGATGTAGCTCAATTTTTGTTGTAAAATATAATAGTATTCTCCGGTCTTCCCCATCCTCAGAAAAAAAAAAAAAAAATTTGCCACATGTTAGTTCCATAATTTTCTTAAAATAAAATTGAATGTAGGTTGAAGCCACTTTTCGTGATGGGACTGAGTTAGTCACCATTCATGACCCAATCGCTTGCGAGAATGGAAACCTTGAGCTAGCATTATTTGGTTCTTTTCTTCCAGGTATGTCTCTACTTTGATGTCAAAAGTAGATGATTTATTATGTATCTCCAGTACTGAGTGCTTCTATCTCCCAGAATACTATTCTGTAATTAAAATGCTGCTTATTGCCTCTTTGTGCATTAGATTGACTTCAAGACATGACTTAGAAGACAAAAACTATATCTGTTATTTATCCTTTACCTATAGATAAATTTTTTTATGAAATTTTAGTTGCTTTTCATAGTCAGCATTTCTTTTGTTTATATGAAGAGGAATCTATTGTCTTCTTAATTCTGTGTAGAAGTTGAGGGAGATTAAAATTTCAATGATCTAATTTGAAGCTGCCCTTTTCTTTACTGAACTAGCTTAATTAGTTGACTGTGTTTACTTGAATCCCCTAACAAGTCACATTGGCTGTAAAAGGGGTAACGGAATCCTCGAGCCCTACTGACAGTAGTCATTTTCAATTCAATAATGAATTTATACGTATGTTACTTTTTTTATGTATCCCTCCTTGAAAATAAAACATTATTATTACATATTTTCTATTTTTCAAGTAGGACTTAGCAAAACATATAGATAAATTAATTTATATTCCTTTCTTGCTCATGTATTTCCACAATATCTAGCTGCAGTTAAATAATGTTCAGTACAATTTTTGCAGTCTCGTGCAATGTAGTTTGAAATTTTTTGGTAAAGCTGACTTACAGAATATTGAAGACTCTACTAACATTAGTATTTCTCTTGATGGATGGAAAATGTGTTTACAGTACCTTCACTTGACAAGTTTACTGCAAACGATGAAGATAATAGAATTCCAGGTGAAATAATAGTTGTAGGTGGAAATCTGGTTCTTAACCATGGAAGAAAAGCAGTAATTCTCAAAGTTGTCAACAATGGAGACAGACCAGTTCAGGTGTTTGCATAAAATATGTATATCCATCTTTTCTTTTACATTAAAATGACATTCTTTTTTATTTTTCATATACCTAAATTCAGTATGATAAGCTGTGCACAAATGAAATAACAAAGTCATGTCAATGAGTGTACTCAATAGGTTCTGGTTTCTGTGAATTTGTTTTCTGATCAATTATGGAGGATTTATATGGTTTACAAGGTTGTTCTGAAGATTTGTATTTAACTATGTATATCTTGATGATCTCTCTGACTGAGCGATTGGTCATACTTATTCCCAGAAATAGAAGCTTTTGAGTTTTTCTTTGGTCAAATTTAATATTTTCATAAGTATTTGAAGCTTCTTCAATATTAACATATTAAAAATTTAGTGTTTCAAATATTCCTGCCAATCGACTAGCTGTTTCCTTTCTCTATATAAAAAATAAGCTAACTATAGCAATCATTTTATAATACTCTGAAAATTTTCAGGTTGGCAGCCACTATCATTTTATTGAACTAAATCCTTACTTAACCTTTGATCGAAGGAAAGCATATGGCATGCGCCTCAATATAGCTGCTGGGAATGCCACACGCTTTGAGGTGGAATTCTACCTTGTAGTTTTCAAATTTTACCTTGGTAATTGTAATGTTGTTCATTGAATGTATGCATTATAATTATTTTTTATTCATTGTCTATATCATGTGTGAAGGCTAAACATGTTCAGTAAGTGAACTAATTCATTTATTAGATTACAAATGATTAATTGAAAAATATTTAATCTTGATAGCC